AGTCCATACCCACTGTCAAGGGACAACTACTGCTTTCCAGCTTGTTATTGCTATTAGATACCATGAGCCTCTTCTGCTAACATCACCCACATTTTTGAAATGAGCTAAAAATCTGCATCTGAATGGAAAGGTTTTCTCTCTCTTTTTTTTTTTTTTTTTTTTTTTTTTTTTTTTGGTTTTTTGAGACAGGATTTCACTATATAGTTGAGAATTCGAACTCACAGTGATCCTCCTTCCTCAGCCTCCCAAGTGGTAGGATTACAGGCATGCACCATCACACCTGACTAAAAGTTTTCATTTTAAAAATGTTGGTAAACTAGTAGAATTTTTAAAAGAATTATGGACTGAATAGATCTGTGGAGCAAACAGGTTTTGAGGTCATCAGTTTGTGACCGTCTGGTGTATTCTCATACAGGGTATTAAGAGTTCCAGTGTGTAGAATTTGATGAAGACTGGGTCGTACATCAAGGGGTACATTCTTTTGTGCTGGAATTGTCCTTCCATGTACTCTTGGAAGGGATTGTTCCTAGTGACTTAGGGAAAACTTAATGTCACGTCTTCTATGGAAAAAAACAAACAAACCTGGTAGTAAGAGTGGAACAAGCGATACGGAGCCATCCAAGGAGAACGCTGGACCAAAGAACCTGTTTGGACATGCCAGAACTCTCTCAGAGTAGAAGCACCTGTATCGATCATACAGATTCCGTGGATTCTCCATCTTCCCATGTTACGTCCTTTTTCCTGAACAATAAATGGTAAGAGGGAGAAGTTGCCACAAATGCAGTTGATATGCTGGAGAAAATAGAATTCTGCTTACAGTTTAGCAGCAGAGTCATAAAGCAGATGAAGTTTGAATACACAGGTAGAACACTGATGAGTCAAGCAGGCAAAGGTACTTCTCTTTAGTTTGCTGCTTGTGTAGAAATGACTACTGATATTTACTACTGTGAAAATGAAGACGGAAGGTATTCGTGTAGTACTGATGTGATCTGTCCAGGGAAACTAGTAATCTACTATTATTGGATGTAGATCTTTTCATAGAAATGCTCAGTAATAATGCATACGTCAAAAACCATACTTTATTTCATGTATAGCAATACAATTTACATATTAAATAACACTATAATAGAATGATTTGATATAGTTTTAAACAGAAAAAAAGGAAAAATTTCAGGTTACAAAACCCCTCCCATCCCAAACAAATTAAAAAAAAAATCAGTTTTTCCAAAGGGGTCAATGTGACAAATGTACTCAGTGACTAACTATGTCTAACTCCTATTGCACAAATGGTCAATGGAATTTAAAAAAAAAAAACCAACTTTCACAATCACTATCTCAAAGAAATAACGCATGTTGGATTCTTTTTGGAATGCAAAGATGGTTCTTGCTACTTCAATACACAAAAAGTTGAATTCACATATCCACCACAGAAAAGAAAAAAAAAAAACTATGATAGAGTTGAAACTAGAAAAAAATTAGCTTTATATGAAAATATAAAATTCTATGATTATATACCATAGATACAAAGTTCCCAGAAGATGCTTACTCAAGCAACAAAATATTTGCAGTTTTAATGATTTTAGGTATTTCAAAATGAAGTGAAAGAAACATGAGTTAATCTGAAGGCTGAATTCTTTAGAAACAGTGGCTGCTTGCTAGTTTCACATGTCCTAACAAAAATGGAATCACTACCCCAAATGTTGGAGAGTTGCAACATTTTATAAAATTGCCTGTCTCCTGTTTTGGAGATGTTTATTTCTTAAAACTCAAGATATTTTTCTCGAAATTAATTATCTCTGTAGAAAATGCTTCCCTTTGCAAATATTTAACAAAAATACTAAAAACAGTTTAACAGCTAAGACAAATAGAGGCCAAACATTTTTTTACATTTCCTCCCTATTTTTTAGCATGCCTTCTTTCTCTAGAGATAAGTAAAGCCGATATTGTATGTTAAATGGCAACTAAGGGAAAGTGCAAAGGGTTAAGAGAAAGTATAGCTGGTATATATATATTTTTAAAAAAGCAGGCTTTTTACCTTCATATAAAAATTCACTGGCACCATTTGAACAGAAATTTTAAAATTGAAAATGCATTTTCCAGTATAACCACTAAATTCTTAAGACAACTACATTTTGAGTATTTGTTTAAAATTAGGTTTGGGTTTCTTTTTTCTCTGCTTAGAATTAGTATCTTTGGTAAACTGGTATCTATATTTTAATTTTAAATATAGTACATATGCATTTAAGTAATATCAAGGCAGTTGTGCTGTGTCATTATAAAATAATTAAGGTTACCGATTGATTTCAGGGTCACTCTGGTTAAAAGCTCCAACAGCCATACCTAGAACACCATAATCCTTCTTTGGCCTTAATGGAAATTTCTACTTGAAATGGACGACTCTAAAAGTTCCAATATCTAAAAACTAGGAAAATCAAGTAATCTTGAGAAGTGAACTGTTTAACTATAAAAGATGGTATCATGGTGAAGGGGTGCAAGACCTCTCATGGCAACAAGATGTCCCTGACGTCCAGCATGACCATCTGTCCTGATCACAGCAGTTCACGTCTGTGTGCTGTGTGCATTCTGCTTGCCTTGTGCTAAGTCCTACACCCAGCTGCTTTATCCTATAAAACAGCACACGTGAACTTGTGATAGCTACTTCCTTTCTCCTCAAGAGCAACTGGTAAAGATCTTATTACATATTTGAGCTATGTGCTTATGTCTCAAAGAAAATACCATCTTTGGAACTCTACCTCTGGAAAAATGCATTTTTTTTCCTGAATAATAATTATGAGGACTCAGTCTGTGCTGAAAGCAAGGAACTGCGAACATAACTCCTCAGAGAAGGGTGTTGACAGCTTTGGAAGGATGGCTAACTAGCACTTCCTTATAACTCAGTGGGTTAGGATCTGCAGATTTTGGATCAAGCCCACTGTAGACATACATTGCTTACAGAGAACTTATAAACCACCTTTATTATGTTTTATGCTATTTACTACCTGTCTTTCATCATTTCACACTCATGTAGTCATGGAACTGATAGTCACAGAACTGAGTCAGAGGGTATGCATTTCCACGAATTGAAGCCACTATAAATAGCACAGGAGGGAATACTTTAACCACAAGCTGCAACTCAAATTTAACTCTTGAATATAAAAGACACTGTGACATGTATAAACAGCATTAGTTCATTGCAACCAATTACACAGCATCTACATAGCTGACTTAAAAAACTTATCCCTTATCTTTTCCTTCCTGATGCCCCTCAGCCTTCCAGCACCTGCAGTGCTCGTGCGACCAAGCTTTCCTTGTGCTGGGTAGTGCACCAATTCTGATGGGAGCTGTTGGGCTGTAAAGGTGTCTGTATCAACTAGCATGTGTAGCTTGGCAAACCCGCTCAGTTGAATGAGTCTTTTCTTGACCAGCCTATGGTAGTTCTTGAAAAGCAGACTGTTCCATGTTCTTGAATGGATAAGAGTAACCCTGGTAAATTATGTAGTTCATGAAAACTCGGTTGACCTCATCATTGCATCGAAATCCTTGGACTTGGCCTGTGGTCTTTCTTCTTAGTAACTCAGGGCCCCTTAATCGCACGAACAAACTTCATGGAAGCCCATCAACACAAACAGAACCTCCATGCTCATCATCATTCATGGTTTCATGTCTACCCAGAAAGTATGACAGCCACTGTGGCCTTTTTGTTGAAGTTTCTTGGGCACAAACGCAAGCCAAACCCTGTTTCTCTTAATAGGCATCTTCTGATGATGCCACAGGCTTACCTATAAAAGCAAACATGCAGGCAAAGTAACATCTCAGTAAGTAGTTTATACTGTTAACAAACTACTGAGTCCTCTTCTGATGATGCCACAGGCTTACCTATAAAAGCAAACATGCAGGCAAAGTAACATCTCAGTAAGTAGTTTATACTGTTAACAAACTCTACTGAGTCCTATCTCCTGACTGTCCCATTCTATAATGAAGGGTGAATGCAGCTCCAGAGGTTGGACCAAGAAACTTCCTTAGGCTCGCTGATGATTACTGGCATCTTTTACCTCGGTTTTCTGTCCTTGACGCTTAACTACAAAAAGCATTCAGAGCTGTTTCCTTTGAAAAACTACTTGAAATTGCAGGTATCACCTTATTCCATTTTCCAAATTCCCAATTCTCTCATTGCCAGTAACAATTACTCACATGGGAGTATCAAGAGTCCCAAGACTTTTCCTAAAACTTCATTTTCTGTTTAAGTAAAAGAATGTATGCAATTAAAGAGATTTATTAGGAAATATTTGGCAGAAAAGAATATTAAATATATAGGTTGTTTTTATTAGACTGCTGTATAAGTAGAGGGGAACTTTTAGAGGGCTAGTTCCAAGATTATATACTGCAAAAATCTTCGTCCTCCTACCTTCATTCTCTGTGAGTTTGGTAATTATAAACCAAGAAGCAGTAGTGGGGATTAACTAATGGGTCTCAAAACTGAATTATGTAAAATATTGCCATCTCTTTACTATAAATGATAGCCCTGGTTTTAGGGATAGCTATTTCAGAGTCAAATGCAAATAACACACACTGTCCACATAGCTACTGTGAAAGCTGTAATACAGAGTTATCCTTTATTTTGACACATTTTAAAAAGCTGTGAATATAACTTTGTAACTAAGAAGAGACGTTTACATGAAGCAACTCAAGCCTTCTAATTTCCTAAGGGGTCTCTTAACCATCCTAAATGGAACTGCTTCAAGGCCATGATGTTGATAGACCTTCTCAGTTGCTCCCAATGGCCTACTATTCTGTAAAAGAAAACAATGCTCATCCACTCCATTAAAATACAGAAGGCATACAGTATTGAACAGTGCCTAAAAAAATAGGAGGGGAGGACTGAGGAAAAGTACAGCACTGACTGGTAGTAGAATGCAACTGCTTTAGCAATAGTAATAAAGTCAAGTTTCACCTTCATAACAAAGACCTTCACTGTACTGAAAACTAAAAGGTAGCATGAATGTTGTCATGGAATGTCACATCAGGGTTTGCTTTAGTAATCAGATTATAGGCAGTAACACTGATCATATAGTGCAAACTAGGTAAAATTGTGTTTCACCGTGTGAAATGAACAGAGGTGCAAATGCTCGGTAGGATACCATTAAGACATAAAATGACAAAAAATAAATATCAAAAATTTTATCAGTGTAAAAAAGTAACTGGGTTATTGTATAACCTGGAGTCTGGCAAAAAAGGCCTCAAAACAGTTCTTAGTCTTCAGAAGTCTACAAACGAAGTGCCCTTCAGAATTCCAGTCACACTAGAGACTCCATGCTCTCGGCAGGGTCTGATTCATCTGCGATTAGAACAGCACCATTTTTGTCCACTGCCATGGGACCATTTCCATTTTCTTTAGTGCTGACCAAGCTGAGCATCGCTTTATAGACAAACTGGTATTGTTCCTGAAAAAGAAGAGGAAGATAGTTTGAGCCACACAACAGCCTAGGGGTTTTATCGTACCAGTGAATAATGGAATTGTGAAAAAAAATTACTAGAAAGACAGGAAGAGCAAAAAATGTTATCTAAGAAACTAAAGAAAAATCACTTAATCTTCTATAATTATTCTGTAATTATGATCTACACCTTCTTTGTATCCATTTGATCTCTGTTAACATGGAAACAACTCTCCTTGTTGATAGTCCACTAAGATAATGGAGTATCTACATGTTAAAAACACAGAACTCCAGACTCTAAAGCAGAATTTTTCAGTTGACATTTCAGGCCAGATAATTCTGTGTTGTGAAGAGCTGTCTCGTGTACAGTAGGATATTTAGCAACATCCTGGCCTCTACTCACTGCATGGTAGAATAACCTCTTGCTATCAGTAGACGTGACACAGAGTCCAGACATCGCCACGTGTCTCCCGGGGGACAAATCCCTCTTGGTTGAGAAGCCCTGTGTGACAGTGTATGAAAACCCAGGTTTTAAATAGAAGCAAACTGCTTACAATGTCTGTGAAGACTCCAGGTCTCATAAGATTGATCATCTTTGCAACCTGGAAAACATCCACCGCGTTTTCATTCTCCAGTTGCTGGGACAGGGTGGTAAGAGCACATAACATTCCTGCTGAAACCGCTCCATACCTGATGGAGGAAAATGAAAAGATGCTGTTTCGGATTTTCTAAGGGACTGAGTACACTAGAATGAAATTAGTTAGAAAATGAGTAGAGTGTATTCACCTCTGTTCTAGGAGACAAAAGTGAATGAGATGCTGGGCAGGAGGGATCTGGAAGCTTGCCTAGAGGTAACATTTACGTATGAGTGCGAAATCTTCCAAAGGCTTCATCAGATGCATAGGCTGAACTCTAATATGAAATGGGAGGTTCAGAAGGAGCCTTGGGATAGCAGTGTATCTGGTGTTGGGATGAGCTGGGAGGTACAGCAGGAAAAGGGGACAACTTTAACTGTGGGCTGTTGAATAAGTAGCAAGTGTTGGAAGGCTCTGAAAAAAATTGAAAACTATCTCAAAGAGTTAACCTGAACTTCCAGATAGGAAGAATAAAAAATGGAAATGAGGGGTCATGCACTACATAATATTTTGGTTAACCATAGACAGTATTTATGATTATCCCAGAAAGTCATAATGAGCTGAAAGTTCCTATTGCCCAGAGGTATCTTAACTGTAGAAACATGTTAGTGCAGCTCAGCACGCGTGCGTCTGTGGTGGTGGCGGTGGTGCTGGTGCTGGTATAAACGATCTCTCTGTGCCGCTAATCATGTAAAAGAATATATAGCACATGGGGCTATGTATAGTGTGTAATACTGGGATCTGTCCTGTAGGTTTGTGTAAGTACACTCTGTGATGTATGTCCAACAACATAATCACCTACTGTTGTGCATGTCTCAGAAATTATGCTGTTTCATTGAGTGGCAAGTGACTCGGTGAGGCTCCAAATGAAGCCACAGCTTTTTCATGTGCTTTTAGATATTCTAAGTTTCCTAATATTGAATTATTTATCTGGATCTTACTGTTTTGCCGTAAGGGAGATAACCGGTTGTTCCAGGATGTGCTATTGAATATTCATCTGATCACTGCTCATTGACATAAACTGCCCATTTATTATATACTGGATTTTCATAATGCAGGCCTACTTTTGAATGCTCTATTTGGGCCCTTTAATCTGTTTATCTATTTTTTGTACCTTTCCATGTCCAGTTCCTATAGGCTTTTAGTAAGTCTCGAGAAAGCAAATTTCTGTAATAGTTTTGGCTGGCTCTACATTTTTCTCTTTTAATGTCTTTCTCCGTTTAATGATGGATATGAGGAAATTCACATGTTTTCAGTTTTTCATCTTAATGTCTTTCTCCATTTATTCAGGTCAGGTTTAGAACTTTTTCCCATAGTCTTTGCCACTTTCATTTCAAGTATTTCAAGTTCATTGCTAGGTACTCTACTTTCACACGGTGAACTTGAATCCAGTCACAGAGGAGAACTCTGTTTGACTTGTGACAATTTTGGAGTTCAGTGTGTACTTGGCTACATCTTTATCTGCCAGTAAGGGCAGTTTTGCCTGTTCACTACTTGCTGTTCTGCGCTTTGCCTTTACCGCCTTGGCTAGAATCTAAATACTTTTTATGTATTGGCAGTGAGAGAGCAGGTATTGTATCTTTCATGGTCAAGTTGCTGAATTTTCAGTATGAATAAAATTATGAGCTATAGGCAAAATGATAGTTACCAGGTTAAAGAGGATGCTTTGTATTTTTAGTTCACTGAGTATTTCAGTGGGGTAGTGGACATGTGTTATTATATACTTTCTACTCTGTATTGATTGTTTTAGAAATGTCTTTAATAATGTCCTAAATCCACTGATAGGTTTTTGGTTCTGTTAACCAGTGTACATCACCAGGATAAACTGTTTTCCTAACGTTTAATGCTCCTAATATGTTGGGTTTTAGTATAGTAGATTTTCTTAGATAGTACATTTTTATGTTTCTAACTATATCCACAAAATAAGATTGGCCTATACTTTTCTCTAGAGCTAGCCATGTCTGTCTAAATCAGATTTGTGGTAAGTGCTTCTCTCTATATTATTTTTGAGATGGAGTCTTGGTAAGTGTGTCGTGGGCCTTAAGATTTGGAAGACTCTTTGTCGTCTTCAGTTTATAGTAATCACTACTACGCATTTTTCTCATAGTGATGTTTCAGGCTTTCTGCTAGATTTGTAACATGCGCCGGCTTAATCCTCCCCATAACCCCAATAGTACAGTAGCAGTGTCTCTTTGTGACGCTGAAGAAGCACTACACTGAGGTGAAGAAACAGGCCAAAGTCTCATAATGAGACTGAAGCTTAACTTCCAGCTAATACTTGTAGTTGGGTCAGAACAGAGGCTGGCACATGCCATGTGTTCAATACATGTTTTACTGTGCCTATAATCTAGGCTTAAAAATTTGTTAGCACAGAGATTTCAATGCACGTTTGAAGTGCTTATGAGATTTAAATGCTTATTTTAGTTCTTCTGAAATATTTTTTTAGGTTTTTATTACGTAAAATGTTAAACATAGGCAGAAGTACGATAGTATAATGCCCTCCACGCAGCCATCATTCATTTGGCATGAGCATGGGTTTATGGACACTCCTGTTCATATCATGCATGTGGAGGGAAACCCCAGATATTTTATTCATAGTTATTTTAGTTTCTCTCTCTAAAAGATGGGGACCTTAAAAATAAACTTAGCCAAGCATGTTTGCGTACACCTGCAGTCCCAGGACTCTGGGAGGCTAAGGTAAGTGGATCACAAGTTTGAGCCCTGGGTAACTTAGTGACTTAGGGAGATCTTGTTTCAACAAACAAGGGGGTGTAGCTGAAATGGGAGGTGCCTGGGTTCACTTCTCAATTATTTTAACTTTAACTACAGATACATGTTTTCCTTCTTAAGCCTTTTTCTAGTAGTTTTCATCATACTGCACAAAGTTGTACCCTGTTTTTAGATTTTTTTGCTTAGTATTTCCTCCTTACTCCCGTTTCACTTCTGTTTGCATCTCTTTATAATTTCCTTGTATATTCTGTGGACTTCCTTGTATCTTTTTCTGGCTTCTTGAGTCGAAAGTTTAGTGTGCTTTTCATCTTCAGTGTGTGCCGTTGGGGCTATACATTTTTGGTGAGTATAATGTGGTTCCATCCCGACGTGTTGGAAATGTAGTGCCCTCATCATGAATGTATATAAAAGTCTTACAATATTTAGCAATTTGTATTTTGGTTAACTTTTTAATTTATAAACAGTTCTAGATGAAAAGAGTTAAGTTTCTTAGCATGAGGATTGTTTGTAATATCAATGCATTGTGAACAGTGAGTGTGACCTTGTTTGTACAGCACCTGTTTTCAAGGAATGTACTGAAATTCCATTTTTGATCACATTACGTGAACAAATCATTCGTGTTGAAAAGAGACCACAGGACCCTCCCTACAGATTCGCTTTGGTGCAGACTATTGTATATGGCTAGTAGAACAAACTATTCTGTATTACTATTAGAATTAAATCTCTTTGAATGTTACTTTTCTAAAACTGTTCTGACCGGTTTTAGAGCTCAACTCTTCATTCAATTCTTAGAAAACCTCAGGTCTTACTTCTTCCTCTTTGACCTTTTACGTGACGATCACCATATATATATATATATATTTGGGAAGTTTTGTATCGTTACCCTTTAATATCTTACTTAATCTCTGCATATAGTACTACTAGCCCAATCTTACGTATTTAATTTTCCTACGTTACAAGAGATAGGATCAAGTTAAGAAAAATTTATTACAGTAAAAGACAGTTGGCATCAGTCCCCTTCAGACTTCTCCCTGTTGCTTTGAACACACTCCATTATTACTATTTTTGAGCAGTTCCATAAGTCTTCAGTTGTACTGTCATGCCTGCCCCCGTGTCCTGAGTCAGTTCAAAACATTTGTCTTTCATAGTGATTTTGGCTTTGGGGAAGAGGCAGCACCTGCATGGTGCCAGATCCAGTGAATAAGGTGGATGAGGACACACTATCAAGTTTTTATGGGACAGAAATTGTCAATAGTTTTATTCGATTCGGGACATCACAGCAACCACAAGAGGCACAACTAAAGACACCCATGAAAGAGGACTCACAGAACTGCTTCGGGAAGTGGCAGGGATGACAGGTGCAGTGTTTTTAGTGAGGGGAAATATTTTGAAAGGGAATAATGGCAATGTAGATGTAACTGTAATAAGTTAAAAACCTAAAGATTCAGTGTATTTGTTGGTCCTACTGTGTGGGGGTATAATTTTCCATGGTTATGATTTCATAAAACTCTTTCAGATCTCTGAATATATTTTAATATCCTGGTATGGCTCTCACATGCTGATTGTGGTGTTTTCTTTGTTTTGGGATTTTTGTTTCTGTTTTATTTCACTGTGTTGCCTCTCCTTAGATACTAAAATGTACTTATCCTAGCACTCACGAGCCTGAGACAGGAGGATCACTGAGAGTCTGGGGCCTGCCCAAGCTACACAGTTCAAGGTCATGGCATTTAAAAAGATTTCATTTGTACTGATTTTGTTCACGAGGGGAAGAATTTAAACTTAACTGGTTTAGTAAAATAGACTCAGGATTCTTCCTTTTTATTTCTTAGCTTTTAACAAAAGCTACTAATAGCCAGTGAGAAAGAAAAGTCAGGTAACTTGTATCTTTGATATGGAGTGTGCTTTTCACGTGGGATTACTTTCATTTTCTGTAGGTTGGCTTTCCTATGCTTAGCCATTCTCCCAAAGTATAGTATCATGATTCGTACCGCTTCAGTGTGTGGTGAACATCATGCATGACTGTTGCCATAACATACCCCAGGTGTGGAGGAGGCCATGCTGTTAGGTTTATGTACACTTTTGATGTTTACGTGATGAGAGTCGTCTAATGACTCATTTCTGAGACCATATCTCCAAGTCTTAACTATGCGTAGCTGCACTTGAATTAAGAAAAAGCACCACACAGTTTGGCCTTAAAGATGAATAGAAACTACCATCTACATAGCTATCCAAAATAAAAGAAGATAGGCTGAAAAAGCAAAGGCCATTCTCTTTCCGAAGTTTAGGAAGTAAAAGAGTGAAGAATATTGTTGAATTTCACGGACTTGCACTTAAAACCATCGGGACTTGGTGCAGAGGAGATGCAAGCACTTCCTAAACTACATAAAAGAAGAGCTGTATACACATCCAATGAGTCTAGTAGTTCGTTTGCTACTTCCTCTCAGGGCTCAGGGCAAAGTCATGCCTGTGTAATGCTGTAAAGAAAAAAAGCCAAAAAGCATGCCTGTCTTCTCTTGCTTATGCTATGGAGAAATCAAAGTATTTTAATAATATTTTAAAGTGCTATGTCTGTATCCATTAAAAAACATATTGAGGTTCCCTGCCTAGTGTGCATAATATCTATGGGCACTTAATTATTGTTTTAACTGTTTCTTCTTGTTACTAACAGTTATTGTAGCTTTGCACTTAAGACTTGGTTTTTAAACTGATAACCAAGAGTGCAGTTCAGAGTTATAATCCTGTCCCTGTGAGGAGTGTGAAGCTTCCTTTAGAAGTCAGTAGGCCAGGAAAGAAAACAGAATCAAAGCTTCCATCTTTGCCGGTTCAGGGGAAGGTGCACAACATTAGAGGAGCCTCCCACAGGGCTTAAAAAAGTTACAGCTGCAGAAGTGAATGAGAAAATACAAGTGGGAAAAAATTAAAGCACCATGCAAAGGCGCGAGGGAGATGAATGCAGGAATGCTTACTATGAAAACCAGTGGCAGGCGGTGTTAGCCAGAAGGACCAGCAGATGCGCTTTTGACTGTGACCAGGGTCAGCGGCTTGTGCAGTTGTACAGGGCCCCGTGCCTCAGTGAACCTGCTCGCTCAGAAGGGCTCTGTAGCTAGTTTAGTGCTCCTGACTTGACATGTGGACATTCTTTACCTTTTTTAGCAAGGGGTCCAGAGTTTCTATTTTACACTAGACCCTATGAATTATGTGGCCGGTATGAAATCTGCACAGGTGGTGGGCAAGTTTCTTTACTGTGCTCGTGTTGTCATATATGAAGCGAGGATCACAAAATTACCTTTGCAGTAGGGTGACATTGAGGATTAAGGGGAAATAACTGAATGAGTTACGATTTGTGGTTGCCTTGGTAGCAGTCTGCATTTCTTATAGAGTATCTCAGTATTCAGACTCTGATCTCTCAACAGATTAATGATTAAGCTTTTACTTACTTGGGCTATATACATCACGATTTACTGTATTAGACAGTAAAACAAAGAAAATGTTACAATGCAAGGACCTGCAAGCACATGTTCTGCTTTTTCTGAGATTTTATCACATGCCTAGTAGCTTTGGAACACTCCACACTCAAGCCAGAATGAAAGTGAACTTGGCAGAGAACATCTCTCTACTACTACAGAAACAATTTTGACTTCTCAGATGTTTTGGAAAGGCCTTAGAGATACTTTCACTATCGGTCCTCAGATCACACTTTGAGAGCTCTTAAATGGATATAATCTAGTATGACATCCAATTGGGTGACAGATATATCTCCAGAGGGAGTTACTATTTAGACATGAACCCATTCTTCATTCCGTGAGTCAAGCGGATGATTTAGATGAAGGTCTAATCATCAAATGTTGTATACAACTATGTTAGGAAGAACCAGGCCTACGTTGCAGAGTTCTTCTATAGTAGCACAGGCTGTTTCTATAATTTAATAATAATGACAGAGATCAGCCTCTGAACAGAATAGTCTCAAACGGGTGACTGACTGTAGCAGTCTGCTCTGCTCTTGTGTTTGTCTCCAGTAGAATCTGCTACTTTAGTGAGGAATTTTCTCTCTAGATCATTGATCTAGAGACATCTTTTACCGGGCATATAGGGGAGAACCTGAAACAGGTGTTAGGCGTATGAAGACCAAATACATATCATTAAGTTTGCACCCTCCAAGGTCAGTTCTTTGCTTTACTTTAGATGCAGGCTAGTATTCTCCCTAAGCCTGGCCGCTCTTATTTTTGAAAGAGCTTAAAAACTCACTGTACATTGTTTTTATAGTTCACAGAGGAATCAGTGCAGGAAAAATAAGTGAACAGTAAATGAGACCAGAAGCAAGGCTCTCCTCTCTGGAGGTAAATACCCTTCATAGATTCTAAGACACCATTTAAAGCACAGTACCTGTTCATGCAAATACTTATATGCAGGACCCAGTATCTCCTAGGCATTGGAGACTGGAAGAATACATCACCGTTGCTGGCCTCGGGAATACGGGAGAGAGTCATATGTATGCAAGCAGTTCTATTGTGACATACATTATGGATGATATTTAGCTGGTGTGCACTGATAAGTGTGTCTGTTAATGATTTTAATAAGCATCTCTGGGGTGAGTCAGAGATGGTTCTGAAAGAGAGACTTTTGAACTGGGTGTTTCATGAAACTGGGTGTTACAGAAAATGGCATTTGGAGGAGCAAGGTGGCCTGCAGGTAATACGTATTGGAGGACCAGGATGATCGCTGAAAAAATAAACCTGAGCCAGACTGTCAAAGCAATTGAGAAGTAGAATGAAAGGATGGACAGCAGCAATGGGGAGTGAGGCCAGTTAGAGGTGGAGGTGAGGGAGACTCAAGAAGGACTCTGACGTGTTTCTGGGTGGTACAACGAAGTGGATGGAAGAGGCAGGGACATGATGGGTTGGTGATGTGGAATTCGAGGTGCTTGTAGTTTACCGGAAAGAGATGTGTGTGGAGGTAGCAAAAGTAGGTAAGATGGAAACTGCAAAGTTAAGTGGTATCACGGCATCGTTTTAGAGCCTACATCTGCTAAATATGCCCTTGAGCAATGTGGAAAACATAATTTCTGTGAAATCAACTTATTCCCCACAGATGGTAGGTGAGTGAGTTAACATATTTCAACCGTGGCTTTTAAGTTAACCTACCTATATGTCATTTGCAGATGAACTGGCTTGTTGTTCATTTGCTCTTTGCACATTTAGGTTAAAGAATGATTTACATTTGATTAATTCCAGAGGTGCCATATCCAAATGTGAACACAGATAAGGAATCAAACAGTTCCATCTCCTGTTTCACTGATTGTTGTTGGCTTTTTCCCCCTTAACAACAAGTAAAAGATATGACTACTTTTCTGAGTTTAGATTTGTCATGTGTCTTTGTAACTGGAGATTTGATGCAGGACCCGAAATTCACACTGACCTACATCATTGATCTTGTTTATTATTGTGAGACAAGGTCTTGCTAAGCCACTATAAATTGCTCAAGCTGTGCTTGAACTTTTGATCCTCCTGCCTCAGTGCTCCAGAGAATTGGGATCACCTGGAATGTGGCCTAGATCATTTCTGACTTTAGGACAAAATTCTGTGCCATACTACCATTACAGTGAAATCAGTCACACAATGGGCAGCAGTTTAGGCTTTGTCCTGCATTAAGCTGGCAAAACCCAAATCGCATTTGAAAAGCTAATCTAGTTTAGTGGGGAAGAACTTAGAAGTATCCCTAACCTTATGCTTTATCTTTACTATAAAGTTTAACTGACTGATTGCAACTGCCCAGTTTAAACAGTGGTGGTGGTGCTTACATGTCTAAGAATTAAATCTAACATACTATTTAACTAAATGCTTCCATAGTGTTAATTTTTAATCTAGTATTCCAATATTTTGATATGCTCGATATTTCCTAGGAAAGACCATAAATCTCTTTAGAAGCTGCCAGGATGTGTGATAAAATTGCTAAAATACAATTAGGCGGGTACTACAGAAGCTTTGACCTATGCTAAGTGTCTATATATTCTTCATGTAACAGCGTTAGTTTATGAAAAATAAAAGACTTAATGGTAAAGTTTACTTTCCAGCTTATTAATATCTTGTGCTACTAGAATAGCTGGTAATTTAATGAACATAATAGACACACTGATAATTTGCTGACCCAGGGAGCTAACTTGGAAAATAGAAGTGAGCATATATAAACGATGCTATATCGGCTAAAGATATGTGTGAATCTAATGATTCAGAGCTTTACAAGTGACTTCCAATTTAGTCCCAGCCACAAAGTCTGACTCACATATCCATCCACTGCAAGATGTACCAATGATTCTGTCCTCCTTTTTAAAGTGGCAATAGGCTGTTTGCATCATTTTGTTTTGATTGCTGGGGACTGAGCCCAGGTACAGGTACATGCTAGGCAGGCACTCTACCAGTCAGTCCAAGAGGGCTGTGTTTGAATACCAGTCTGACACTAAGAACCTCTGAGATCAGGCAGAAGTTATTTGTTCTACATGAGATTCATATCCTTTACTTTTCAGTACCAAAAGACAGTACTGCAAACTTAAAACCATATTATAAGATGCAACTATCCGTACTTATCAATTGAAGTATATTTTTAAAAGATTTTTTTCCATAACCAGTGTTTGCTTAAATTTAGTATGAGGATTTTTAAAATGAATGTATTTAAGGTAGTCAAATTAATTACATTATTTGTTTCTGAAATATAAAACTGCAAAAAGCATGTATAGCTGCCTATGTAGGCTGAGACTACAGTATTTTCAACTCTCAAGATCAGATACAATAGGAGAACCAGGAGCTTTCACAGTGTGACCTATTAAAATGTACACAGAGTCAGGTGTGGTAGAGCACACTTGTAATCTCAGCACTCTAGAGGCTGTGACAGGAGGATGGAGACCCTTAACACCTCCATACCGCCCCCATGCAAAGTACACAGCACACCATTTTTCACACCTGTACATTAGAAATCACATGAATTTGTCACAAGGTAACAGAGTAGGTTTTTAATTCTGTCTTTTCACTTTCATAGCAGTTCAACCAAAGCAATGTATAAGTTTTAAATTAAGAAGAAAAGATACGTACTCATCATGGACAATGGTGGGGCCATCCCTTGTTAAGGCCTCTTCCTTGATGACATTGATCAGTTCAAAGGTACTGCTTATGGGGGCATCTGGGTTAGGCCATTTGGGACACTGAAAGTGCCGGACTTCTAGGACATAGTCATCCTATAACCAACACAATATGAGTCACGTATCATCTTTTATGTCACATCTCTACAGTCAGATGAATGGAACTTGCAACTTAGAAAACATATATTTATAGATAACTCTGAAGAATTCGAGGTTAACCAAACCACTGGTAAGAAGAAACATATAAGGAAGGTCTGCCTGTCATCAGAAAAATGAGTAGGTCATCCTAGTGAAACAATACGATGTTACTTTGTCATTTAAACTATTACTGGAGATTCTCTCCTTATTCACACAAGGTGGCAATGATTAGACATTAAAATATCGTTCATTAAAAAAAGCCTTAGAATTGAGCCAGGTGTGGTGGCGCATGTCTGTAATACTAGCAGTCAGGAGGCCGAGACAGAAGGATCGCTGTGAGTTCGAGACCAACCTTGGCTACATAGTTCCAGATCAGTCTCAACTACATTGTGAGACCCTGTCTCAAACAACCAAAAAGAAAAAAAAAAGCCTTAGTATTAATCACCTCTGCAACATATTGCAAGGTTTATATTTCTAATGACAAAGGAAATACTGAGATGTAGTATATTGTTTTTATAATTAGGTTACTAGACCTATTTATATGCACGCTGAATCAGAGGAACAGTTACCTTTCATCTTGCCAGCTGGAAAAAGCAAATATTTGAAGAAAGAAGGAGAACATATTTAAATATTTAAAATGAAGTCTTACTGAAATACCTGGGCCCCTTGAGGGTAGTAAATTAGTTCATCATTACTTAAAAGGATGACTCGGCGCCCTGGTGTGGCAAGTACAGAGGAAGTGAGATTTAGGTTACCTGTGTAGCTTCAAGGATAAAGTCATGGATGATAATTTGTTCTTCATTAGAGAGGCACAGTCTGTCTTTGCTGATGAGGGTGACAGTAAAAGCCTCACAGTTCATGGATTCTTCTCGACTTGGCCAATAGACAAACTCATCTTCTGCCTTTGAAAACCAAAAAAAAATTTTTTTTTAAATATTTTCTTGAAAAAAAAGAAAAATTTCTAGAAACTATTCCTTATTCTCCCATTCTGCATACCTCAAGTCATCTTTTAAATAGTTTATAGAATTATATCCACATCTAGTCATGCTGAGTTCAGTGGTTATTGTATCCTATTGTAAAAATATATTTTGATAATATCCTAGCACCGGTCAATGTAAATCCCAATGTAAATTGGCTCTGTAAGGATGTACTGCTGCCAGTTGGTAAGTGTTCTGCACAATAAGTAGCACAGTAAAAACGGAGGCTAGATCTAGGTCAGTGAATTTCATTATTTCAGAGTTGCTTAAGCCACCAAGACATAACTATGTTATTCCTATGGATTATATTACAATTATATAGTTGAATATCATTTTACAAAAAGCCTTCATAAATATTGTTTTCCTGAATTTTTATGACAGTTGTAAGATGAGGATGGTTTAAAATTTTTATTGTATAGAAAATATACAGCGTGTTGTACTACACATACACAGATAGTAAAAGCATTCCTGTAGTCAAACAAATTAGTCTAAGCACCATGTTACATTTATTTGTGGCAACTAATATCTCATCTAGCATAAATTTCCAAACATACCATAATGTTATACATTAGCTCTCTAGACTTGTTCATTCTACACGTCTGCTACTTCGTATCCTTTCACTTACATCTTCCCATTTCCCTCCCCATTCCATAACTACTTTGTTTTTTTTTACACATTTGAATCTATTAGTTTTTTTCATTGGTGAAATCATGCAGTATTTGTCTTCTAGTGTCTGCCTTGTTTCACTTAGTATAATGTTCTCCAAGTTCATCCACACTGCGGCAAATGCAAGATTTTATTCTTTCTTAGGACTGGATAATATAATATATCCTTGTGTATATTTATCACAGTGTCTTTGCCTGTTTGTCCACTGGCAGACAGGTTGTTTCTGTATTTTGGGTATTGTAATACTGCAGTCAACATGGACATTCACACAGACAGCTTTAGATGTGGTGACTTCATTTTCTTTGGCTACATGATAATTTCTTTTTTCAGTCCTGTGGGTTGAACCGTGAGCCTTGTATATGGTAGGCAAGCACTCTGCCAATGAGCTGCATCATAAGTCCTAGCAGTCCTACTTTTAAATTCATTAGAAATCTCTACTCTTTTCCATAATGACTACCAATTTACAGTCCTATTGAGAGTGAGTTCCCTTTTCACCACAATATTGTTGTTTGATTTCTTGATAATACACATCTTAATATGAAGTGGTAAATCAGTGATTTTTATTTTTATTTCCCAGGTGATTAATAATACTAGGCATCTTATATATCTGCTCGAGTCTCTTGCTCATTTCTTATTTGAGTTAATTTTTCTACTGTTGAGTTGTACTCTTCCTTTTAAATTTTGAATAGTGGTCCCTAAATAAGGGAATTTTACCATGTGACTTTAATAGATGAAGTTATTCTTGGGATATCCAAAGTTGCTTAAAAATCTTACTGCTAAAAAATGACAAAGGACAGCCTTTTTGGAAAGAAGTTGTACATCAATAAGCATGCTGGCTGTACATACAAGGTGTTCATTAAAAGAAAAGTTAACCTGTCAGTTTCAGATTTCAAGAGAGGATAACAAAAAGTTTTTCAGCTTTGAATGAGAGTTGCTTTACATGTTCAACCATTTTAAGACAACTAAGATAACTCCAGATTGGTACTTGAGTCATATCCCTGAAAACTGTAGATGCCTAAGTAAAAGCTACTTGCCACATAGGTTGGAGACTGAGTAAAATATAATTATGATGGTGTATACCCTTCCCATTTTTCTGAGCACCTCAAATGACAAACTCTACTGTGCCTGTATGATGTAGATTTTCATAGGCATTCTTCTGAAAATTCTTAGCTGCTATTATTGATGCTTGAAATGATGTTCAAAACAAAGAAATCTTACATTGTTGCATTAGAAATGAGCCAACAGCCCAATAAGACTTACTGTCCTTTCAAATTTCAACATAACTTATTGCCAAGTACATTTTTTCCCCATTAAACTTATTAGTACATTTAAAACAAACGGTATAGTTATATTGAACAATGAGTTCTTCTACCTTTACCTGATACGTCTTGGTTCTTATTTTTCCCTCATACCCTGCCCTCCCTTCATCCCCTTCTCCCTTCCTTATTTAAAAGGCTTTGTTTCCATTTTTCCCTTTTTTACATTTTTAAATTAAAAAAATTTTTTTTTGTACCGGGGATTGAACTTAGGACCTTCTTCTTGTGAGGCAGGCAGGGGCACCACTGAGATAAATCCCTGGCCCTACATTGTTAAATTTAATGCACAGCATAAAGGGAAACAGACTAACAGTGAGGTTCAGTCTATAAAAAAGACTGTAGTGCATTTAGGTTTTAATACATGTTGTTCAAAGAAATGGAAGTGTGGCCCCATTAACAGATATTCAGATTTAAAATAATGATGGCACAGAGCATCTAAATTAAACCACCTATGTACAAATCAAGCATAGGGCTAGGATTGGATGTGATTCTGGAAAAATTACTTAAAAGTGGGAATAATCTTTGAACTACATAGAAACATTAGAAAGATAACACTGAATAGGAAATTATCTTATTAGTTTAAAAGATATCAAACAGATTTTAATTATTGTGAAAAAGAAAGGCATAAAAAAGACTTCTGAATACAGAAATTAAACTAGGAAATCATTATTCATCCTGAAAGGCCAAAGAAATTACATGCTGCTACTTAATCCAGTGGGAATTCAGGTCTGATGGTCATTTTGCTGAGAAATGTATTTCTGTATCAAAAGCGTGGAGGTACTAATAAGAGGGCTTTCTGGAGTCAGAAACCAGTGAGTTTTGGGCCTGTCTGTACAAATGTATGGTCTCCCACAGTTGTAGTCATAATACATAGTATGTTAAAAATAATCTAGAGAGACCCAATTTTTAGGAAAAATTGCAATGGTGAAACTTTTCATCTGTGAGTTGAGAGCACACACATGTATGAATCTAGCTTCTCTTCAGACCCTGGGATGACATGTTTGATGGTGGTTCCTGTATCCTCACTGTCTGTAGAATGTAATATGTACCCCCAGTCTCCCTTAGCCTTTTCTGGAGAAATGAGCTCCTTAATGGATGCTTTATGGGGGTTATCCTCTGGGCTTAGGTAACAGTAACAAAATACTGACTCATTCAACAAATGAAGGTTTTCACAACCCTAAATGTCTCCAGTGTCTGTATGCCAAAGAGAACAGACCCTGGTTGCCAGCTAATTTGAAAATTAACACTCCAGAATTTAGCTTAAGATTCTGAACTTTATTGCCATTCCATCATACAGAAGCAGCCTTGGTATTCTGAAGCTGAAGCAGAATGCCACAGAGTGAAGACGTTCCTATGGACTGGGCACACAGTCAACTATGTGTGTCACACAGACTAGGGGTTCAGTCACATGCTCTCCTGTCCTAACTAAAATACTCATTACTCTGACACTCATGGACACAGAGTCTCCTTGTTTTTTGCTTTGGTCTCTTTGGTACTGGGGATCTAATTCAGGACCTTGTGCCTGCGAGGCAGGTGCAGTGCCACTGAGCTAAATCTCTGGCCCTGCTTTTGTTTCTGTCTTACTGACTCACGTGTTCACAGAGTAACTTTTCAAGACCTAGCAAATTCTGAAATTTAAGGATACATGCAGTTAATTCAAGCCTGTTTCATAAATATGCTCATAGGTTCCTACACATTTTAGAGACTTCAGTAGACAAGGACTGAGTCAAAGGAAAGACACAGTAGTTTAGTCAAAGTCTTGCACTGGATCATAGGTTATACTCCAACCGCCTTTCCTATTCCTTGCCTTCAGTGTATCTGACTTGACGGTGGAGTAGGAAAAGAATAATGAAACATTATTACTTCTGATACAGTATTTTTTCTGAACAACACTGCTACGATGTGCAGTGGGATATTTATTGTACTATGAATAAAGGTGGGCTCCAGAGTGCAGGGAACAGGGAAAGGGGATGTTAGTAGAACTTCTGCAGCCAGTCCTAATCTCCTGCGAGCCAGGACGGCACAAGGTAAATTAAGGTATTAGACAGAAATGATAGAAAATGAGACTTGGAGAAGTTGTTGAGCTTTGGGCCTGATCAGTGCTGCTTGGGCAACAAAGACCAAAGACCCCAACCTTGCCACACCTTTAGTCTGCACATCAAGAGTTAACAAATGTAACGGGTGACTTAGAGGACAGCAGCTGTGAAAATCCTACAACAATGAGTAAACTATGCAGATGTTGACTTTGTTCCTCCCCAGGATGTCTTCAGCTGGTGTAATCTTGCCCTGGAGCATCACAGCTTCACCAGACCATTGACCAGAGGCAAAGGTGGAGTCAGATCTCCACATGACATAGCTGGCCTGTAGGCGGGAAAACTAGACTCTAACCATGACTTAAATGTGAAATGATTTTTCCCAAAAATCATGTAGAATTACTTCCTACACTGGGGACAGATGACTTTGGTTACATGCTGGCTCCAGTGGTTACTGGGTGCTCTTAGGCAAGTTCCCTCAGTTTTCTCAACTACTAAATGAGACAGTCCTAGCTCTGTGAGGTCTGACTTAACTACGTTTGTCCAAACTGACATATGACAGACAGGACATCAGTGACTTAAAAGAACCTTTTTCAAAATCTCTACCACATTGCCCAGTAAAGTACAGTTGAAGGGGAAGAATATGAACACACCAGATATTCAGGTACTAGAATGGATAGGGATGGTCCTGTACTTGTAGGAAGCGAATCTGTACAGTCTTCAAGCATTCATCCCCTCCTGAGCCACACAAACTCTTAGCCCTGTCTCAGTGTGTCCAGGTCACTGATGTGCCTAGGCTCAAGGGCTCGTTCATACACAGCAGACGTGCCTTACTCACCAGGCTCTGGTTGTCCGGCAGCATGACGATGATCTGCGCATTGTGATCCCAAATCATTCGCCAGAAATCTTTCGTAGTGTGTGGCAGAGGATGCTGGGTTATAATAAATTCATTGCTCCTGTAATATCCCTTCAAATGGAAAGAGGAAGACTCAGCAGTTGTGGGTATTTAATTCTAACTTTGTTAGTAATAAAATACATTTATGAAACAAGACAGCATTGTTTTGACCACACTGAAATAACTGAGGAAGGCATTCAGGACATACAGCTAAGTTTTAGATGTACTCTTGCTCACAGTGTGCAGACAATTTTCTCTCGACATGCAATTCACTTCAAGTCACCCCTGCTGTTTTTACTTAACAGTAATTTCAACATTTACTCAAAGTCTAGATGGGTGAAATTAACAACAGAATTAATTCCTTAAGAAGCATCTTGCTTCATCAAGGCACTTTTATACTCCCACTCTTTGAGAATCTTTTGTTAAAAGTTTGAAAATACAGAAATCTCTATACATTATTACACTTGGGGAAATTACTTCCAAAGTAAAATCAGCCAAATGGGTGATATTAACACTTTCAGTTTAATTGGCTTTATTTATGATTAATGGTTGACTCTCACCATGATGTAAGAAGCATTAATGTAATCTGTTCCTTTCATTCCAGGCAAAGGTGCAAGACCCACTCGAGCTCGCTCAGCTAGCACATGGAAAAAACAACAGTACATTCACCTTATTACACAAAGGAACCAGAAGCCCTTTCCAAGACAGACTTAGTGAATAACACATGTCCCTGGCTCTCAGGCCAAAGTGCTGAAGTGTTACCAGCTAAGGGAGAGTGTTAACAGGAAATTTTGCCACGCATATCCAGGACAGAGGCAGTATAAAAATGAAATGTTACTATGGGAGAGGTTTTCATCGCAAAGCACTGAAGAGAATACTGTACAGCACTGTCAGATACGTCCGATCTGATATTCCTAGACTCAACACCAATACGTCCTCCTTTGCTCTGTTTTCCAACCCTTTGTCCCTATCTTTCTCCCCACGAAGTTCTTAGAAAACAGTGACCTTTCTCAGGAGTAACCTTTCTCCCCAGTGCTCACACAGGCAGTGCAAACCTGCAAGTCCTCTGCTGTGTCCTGAGTAATTTGTGCAAGAGTCACCCCCCAGTCAACAGTGGGTAGGTTTCATAGAATAATTCAGTGATGCAGTATCGGTTATACAGATTAATCCATGTAAGTCCTAAAGCAGGCTTAATGCCACACTGATGACAACTTTGGTATTATTTTTAAGTTGACATATGGCAGACCTAACCACATTCTTGCACGTTGAGGTGAACGGAAGCTAGACTTCATGTCTTGTAGGCAGTGACTTGCTAGCACCAGGAGCCACCCCTTCCACTTGCCTCAAACTCCCTTAGCTGAACTGATAGTATGCATAGATTAATGTAGAGTTAGGATTGGAGGTAATCCTCGATGAGTTAATTCTTCTGAGCCGTAATTTCTATATTTTAAAAGTAGGAATAATAAAAGGAAACATAATACAAAGAAACATTAGGATGGTGATAATGAAAAGTGGATTAAGATACCAAACACATTTTAATTATGGTGAAAGGAAAAGCAGGAAAAATACTTATGAATACAGAAATTGAACTAGAAAATCATTGTTCCTCTTGAAAGGGGAAAAAAATTAAATGCTACTTCTTAATCCAGTGGGAATTCAGGTCTGATGGTCATTTTGCTGAGAAATGTATTTCTGTATCAAAAGCATGGAGGTACTAATAAGAGGGCTTTCTGGAGTCAGAAACCAGTGAGTTTTGGGCCTGTCTGTACAAATGTATGGTCTCGCACAGTTGTAGTCATAATACATAGTATGTTAAAAATAATCTAGAGAGACCCAATTTTTAGGAAAAATTGCAATGGTGAAACTTTCCATCTGTGAGTTGAGAGCACACACATGTATGAATCTAGCTTCTCTTCAGACCCTGGGATGACATGTTTGATGGTGGTTCCTGTATCCTCACTGTCTGTAGAATATAATATGTACCCCCAGCCTCCCTTAGCCTTTTCTGGAGAAATGAGCTCCTTAATGGATGCTTTATGGGGGTTATCCTCTGGGCTTAGGTAACAGTAACAAAATACTGACTCATTCAACAAATGAAGGTTTTCACAACCCTAAATGCCTCCAGTGTCTGTATGCCAAAGAGAACAGACCCTGGTTGCCAGCTAATTTGAAAATTAACACTCCAGAATTTAGCTTAAGATTCTGAACTTTATTGCCATTCCATCATACAGAAGCAGCCTTGGTATTCTGAAGCTGGAGCAGAATGCCACAGAGTGAAGACGTTCCTATGGACTGGGCACACAGTCAACTATGTGTGTCACACAGACTAGGGGTTCAGTCACATGCTCTCCTGTCCTAACTAAAATACTCATTACTCTGACACTCATGGACACAGAGTCTCCTTGTTTTTTGCTTTGGTCTCTTTGGTACTGGGGATCTAATTCAGGACCTTGTGCCTGCGAGGCAGGTGCAGTGCCACTGAGCTAAATCTCTGGCCCTGCTTTTGTTTCTGTCTTACTGACTCACGTGTTCACAGAGTAACTTTTCAAGACCTAGCAAATTCTGAAATTTAAGGATACATGCAGTTAATTCAAGCCTGTTTCATAAATATGCTCATAGGTTCCTACACATTTTAGAGACTTCAGTAGACAAGGACTGAGTCAAAGGAAAGACACAGTAGTTTAGTCAAAGTCTTGCACTGGATCATAGGTTATACTCCAACCGCCTTTCCTATTCCTTGCCTTCAGTGTGTCTGACTTGACGATGGAGTAGTAAAACAATAATGAAACATTATTACTTCTGATACAGTATTTTTTTCTGAACAACACTGCTACGATGTGCAGTGGGACATTTATTGTACTGTGAATAAAAGTGGGCTCCAGAGTGCAGGGAATAGGGAAATGGGACGTTAGTAGAACTTCTGCAGCCAGTCCTAATCTCCTGCGATCCAGGACTGCACAAGGTAAATTAAGGTATTAGACAGAAATGATAGAAAATGAGACTTGGAGAAGTTGTTGAGCTTTGGGCCTGATCAGTGCTGCTTGGGCAACAAAGACCAAAGACCTCAACCTTGCCACACCTTTAGTCTGCACATCGGGAGTTAACAAATGTAACAGGTGACTTAGAGGACAGCAGCTGTGAAAATCCTACAACAATGAGTAAACTATGCAGATGTTGACTTTGTTCCTCCCCAGGATGTCTTCAGCTGGTGTAATCTTGCCCTGGAGTATCACAGCTTCACCAGACCATTGACCAGAGGCAAAGGTGGAGTCAGATCTCCACATGACATAGCTGGCCTGTAGGCGGGAAAACTAGGCTCTAACCATGACTTAAATGTGAAATGATTTTTCCCAAAAATCATGTAGAATTGCTTCCTACACTGGGGACAGATGACTTTGGTCACATGCTGGCTCCAGTGGTTACTGGGTGCTCTTAGGCAAGTTCCCTCAGTTTTCTCAACTACTAAGTGAGATAGTCCTAGTTCTGTGAGATCTGACTTAACTATGTTTGTCCAAACTGACATACGACCGACAGGACATCAGTGACTTAAAAGAACCTTTTTCAAAACCTCTACCACATTGCCCAGTAAAGTACAGTTGAAGGGGAATTAGAGTGTTAACAGGAAATTTTGCCACGCATATCCAGGACAGAGGCAGTATAAAAATGAAATGTTACTATGGGAGAGGTTTTCATCGCAAAGCACTGAAGAGAATACTGTACAGCACTGTCAGATACGTCCGATCTGATATTCCTAGACTCAACACCAATACGTCCTCCTTTGCTTCCCTGTCTCAGTGTGTCCAGGTCACTGATGTGCCTAGGCTCAAGGGCTCGTTCATACACAGCAGGCGTGCCTTACTCACCAGGCTCTGGTTGTCTGGCAGCATGACGATGATCTGTGCATTGTGATCCCAAATCATTCGCCAGAAATCTTTCGTAGTATGTGGCAGAGGATGCTGGGTTATAATAAATTCATTGCTCCTGTAATATCCCTTCAAATGGAAAGAGGAAGACTCAGCAGTTGTGGGTATTTAATTCTAACTTTGTTAGTAATAAAATACATTTATGAAACAAGACAGTATTGTTTTGACCACACTGAAATAACTGAGCAAGGCATTCAGGACATACAGCTAAGTTTTAGATGTACTCTTGCTCACAGTGTGCAGACAATTTTCTCTCGACATGCAATTCACTCCAAGTCACCCCTGCTGTTTTTACTTAACAGTAATTTCAACATTTACTCAAAGGCTAGATGGGTGAAATTAACAACAGAATTAATTCCTTAAGAAGCATCTTGCTTCATCGAGGCACTTTTATACTCCCACTCTTTGAGAATCTTTTGTTAAAAGTTTGAAAATACAGAAATCTCTATACATTATTACACTTGGGGAAATTACTTCCAAAGTAAAATCAGCCAAATGGGTGATATTAACACTTTCAGTTTAATTGGCTTTATTTATGATTAATGGTTGACTCTCACCATGATGTAAGAAGCATTAATGTAATCTGTTCCTTTCATTCCAGGCAAAGGTGCAAGACCCACTCGAGCTCGCTCAGCTAGCACATGGAAAAAACAACAGTACATTCACCTTATTACACAAAGGAACCAGAAGCCCTTTCCAAGACTGACTTAGTGAATAACACATGTCCCTGGCTCTCAGGCCAAAGTGCTGAAGTGTTACCAGCTAAGGGAGAGTGTTAACAGGAAATTTTGCCACGCATATCCAGGACAGAGGCAGTATAAAAATGAAATGTTACTATGGGAGAGGTTTTCATCGCAAAGCACTGAAGAGAATACTGTACAGCACTGTCAGATACGTCCGATCTGATATTCCTAGACTCAACACCAATACGTCCTCCTTTGCTCTGTTTTCCAACCCTTTGTCCCTATCTTTCTCCCCACGAAGTTCTTAGAAAACAGTGACCTTTCTCAGGAGTAACCTTTCTCCCCAGTGCTCACACAGGCAGTGCAAACCTGCAAGTCCTCTGCTGTGTCCTGAGTAATTTGTGCAAGAGTCACCCCCCAGTCAACAGTGGGTAGGTTTCATAGAATAATTCAGTGATGCAGTATCGGTTATACAGATTAATCCATGTAAGTCCTAAAGCAGGCTTAATGCCACACTGATGACAACTTTGGTATTATTTTTAAGTTGACATATGGCAGACCTAACCACATTCTTGCACGTTGAGGTGAACGGAAGCTAGACTTCATGTCTTGTAGGCAGTGACTTGCTAGCACCAGGAGCCACCCCTTCCACTTGCCTCAAACTCCCTTAGCTGCACTAAACATAGCATTGTCCCTTTGGTAGTAGCTGCCTCTTTACATAACACAGAAAAGCTGCTTTACAACATATTAACACACTGAAGCCTGTCAGACTGATCAAAGATCTTACATGGCACGACGGAAGAGTTTCTGTTCTTCTCTTTGTTACACTCTTTCTGGGCACTGAAGCATTCCACATCTCTTTGAGAATCTTTTGTTAAAAGTTTGAAAATACAGAAATCTCTATACATTATTACACTTGGGGAAATTACTTCCAAAGTAAAATCAGCCAAATGGGTGATATTAACACTTTCAGTTTAATTGGCTTTATTTTATTTCGCATTACACTGGGTCACAAGCTAAAAGAAAAGCAACATTTCAGTCTCCTTTCAAGGTCATAATTGATAGCAGCTGTCTTCACAATCTAGCACAATACCAATAATCAGATTATTACCAAACAGATACATTTTTTGTGGATGCCACAGAAGGCTCTCGTGACTCAGTAGTGGTACTTGTGGTAGGGATGTGGGCTGTGTCCTTGGGTGCTAGGCTCCTGGAATAGCGGTACTGGGTGTGCACTGTTGACTCAACTATGTGGATTTCTCTGTTTCAACTTCTCTTTGCCATTGTGAATTTTGTCTGTAATTCCCGAATGGCACAGAAGATGCTAGTGTGCCGCCTACATTAGAAGACTGTTTAATAGTATTAGGAGTCAGTGATGTTCCCCGAAGATAAAGAACAACCTAATAGGTTCTTAGTACTTTTCTGTTTAACTGAGATTCTTCTAAGGCAGTGGTGGCGAACCTATGGCAGGTGTGCTGCATCACTGAAAGTTCTAAAAGGTTCGCCATGATCCTTCTAAAGCCATCACGAAGGATCAGCCCAATAGTGGCATTATTTTCGTATATGTACATAGCGTGGTTGGAACACCCTGTGAATACTGTTTTTTTGTGGTGACGGGTGGGGCAGTCTATCTCAGTGCAACAATGTAGGAATAGTGTGAGCTTTCCCGCTGCTGTCAGGGCCATGGAAGTAATTTTCTTCTTTGACTTTCTGATTCTTTTTTCACCTGTTTGATTTGTGAAATGTTTATTAAGAGAGTCAGTTATTTTGTTACCAACTGGATAGATGATTTATTTAATGAATTTTTCTATGTTTAAAGTACTGTATGTATCCCTTATCTGAAATGCGTGGGATCAGCAGATTGTCATAGTCTTTGGGAGGTGGAAATATTTGCATATATGTGCAGTGTAGGGGGTGGAAATCAAGTTGAGACCTGAAACTTCTGTTTCATTTATAAATAGCCTAAAGATAATCTAATACACATGTTTAATAATTTTGTGCAGGAGATAGTTTCATGGTGTGGAATATTCTGTGGCAGGATGTTGACACTGCAAGTTTGGGCATTTGGAGCTTTGGTAGTCCTTTAAATTCTTTTTTGCACATTATTTTCTATGCAAGTAACATTTCAAGATGGGAAAAAAAATGAGATTGAGTCTGTGCCATTATATTTTTCATGGTGAAATTTCCAGAGACTCTAAAAGTTTAGGTTGAATCTCTGCCACAGAAATGGAATAAAGGGCAGAATTTATGAAATGTTGGTGTGTCCTCATTGGTAGTCATTTCCAATGGTTTTATAGTAGCTAGGATGTTGTGAGAATTAGACGTTTAAAATCATTCTTAGGACTAAACTCAGTGAAATTAATCTGTTTTTCATTTCATATCCCTTGGTGTCATCTGCTTAGTTAGCAGCTCATTTCTTTGGTTGATATTCAAGTGGAGGTTTCAGAGTCTATGGGAAGCTTTACCACGAAAAGTCACACTGCACTGATTTTTCTCATGCTTTGACTCGACACAAAATGGGGACAACAATATGCAAAAAACAATAAAATTGAAAAGATAATGAAAAACTCATGAACAAGAAAGCACTTGGTAATTGCAAAGACACCATTTGAAAGTTACACTTAATTCTTTTGAGCTTTCTGGTCTTCACCGCTTTACTAATCCTTACAGTATGTGTTACACCTGTCACCCCAGTTAATCCATGTGAACCTTAACTGTCTTTGAACTTCTTCATGCCCCTACCAAAGAAAAAGAGCAACTACGTTAGGAAAAGTTAACTGTCCTATACTACTGTTAGGTTTAGTAGCTTTTTGGGGGTTTTCAAATTATGTTCTGGAATAGTTTTTCAAGCAGGCGTTATTTTGAGGAAAACCTGTCTACAAAGAACCCTTTTAACGAAGGTAACATCCAGGGTTTCAGAAAAATGAGGATTGTTTTTTGGCCAGCTCTGATTCAAGTCTTGTGTCAGTGTGGCTACAGCATGTTATAAATGTTCAGCTTAAGTCATAAACTTCTCAGAAAAAGAAATAGCATTGTACTCTCTACTTGAATGTCAATAAGACTGAGTCGGGGCTGGGTGGGGTGGGGTGGCTTTGTAGTCCGTCCTTAAATGTAATGAAGGGGGAGACAAACAGTTTTCAGGCAGTACATTAATGTTATTAAGATGCCAAAGTCTAGGGCATTTTGCTGCTGTCTTGCTTTATGCGAAAGAATTTCTCAAAGCACTACCTTGAATTGTTTCTCCAGTCGAGTCTTTCCTCCTGCTCCAGGTGTAAGGATGCTGTTAACATAGCTATGCAGCTGATTTGCAGATACTTCAGTTTCATTCCCAAGAATGGCCTCCAGCAAGGCATCGTGGATGAAAATATACTGCTCCTATAAGGTACAAGAATTGGGAATCACCAGGGAGAGCTGTTGAAAGGAAGTCTACCATCTGGGACCTCCCAGTGAATTCCTACGAGCCTTAGCATTTGGAGGCTTGCCTCAACACTCACTTGCCTGTCCATCCTATCCTAATTTGTTTTAGGGTAGTGACTGTTCAGTTTCCTCTGTATTCTACATTGTGCTAGGAACGCTGTTCCTCTTGTGTGTTTCTGAGGCCAGAAAACATATCTAGTTCCCCACAGTAGCTAATACAAATGCATCTGATACATACATTCTGTGTAGTTACTGAGCAATCCAAATGCTAAGATTCAAACAGAAATGGGAAACTGATGTAAAAACAGAATCATGGTCAGGGTATCTTTTAGTCCACAACACAGCCTTTTCCTTCAAGTTCCAAGAATGAATCTGTTTCCTTAGCATCACTCACTCTTCAGGGAAGGTGTGTGCTGGCAGCTCACGAGGGCTAGTCCTTACCTCTGTCTGGACGAGGTAGTTGCGCTGTGTCCTGATATGCTTCAGGAATCCCAGGACGTTAACTGTGCTTTTGTCTTTTATCTGTTGTAGCATGCTGTCTATTACAATGTAAGTGCCTGTCCTGCCCACACCAGCACTGTAAGAAATAAAGGCACTCAGCTAGTACTGTTAAACCATGGACTGCAAAAATGACAATGTAAATGCATAAGGAACCGAGAAGTAACTGTGATGTCTAGGAAACCTACTATAAGTGGCATAGAATATTCACACAGATGAGCTTCATTAGGTAATTTCCACTTCGTGAGTTTGGTAAGGAGCCCAGAGTGCTTTAATGCTGTCTCCTTGACTTCTCAGCCTCCTTGGCATGCAACCCATGATCCAGGGCTCTAGAGGTATCTGTGGCAGCAGCCATCCCCACACCAGAACCAGGCCTCCTTACTGTTCAGCATCGTGCTTGGTTTCTCACCAAACCCCTACTGTTCGTTCAGTCTGCTGTTGCATGCAGCTAAGAAACTTGTTTTCAATGTTAGCGGTATTTTACTTTCGTAAACCTGGTACAACAGTGGTACATCTAGAACATCTGGCTTCTTATTCCATATTGTTATTTAAAAAAATACCCAAATGGATCTCAGTTCTGTAGTACTGATTAAGAAGTGTGTTTCGGCAGAATGCCCCAGAAGCTTCTCCCTCTAGCCCAAGACCCAGGCTGCATGATTGACCTGTGTCCACCTCAGTGCTTGTTAAATGTAGAGGTGAAAAAGTGGAATTCTTATGGGATTCTAAGTAAAAGATGTGTTCCACGTTCTGTAAAGTCTTGTTTGGGAAAGCATATTAGACCAAAAGGCCAAAAGAAATGCTCACAAAAATGCTATGTAGTACTAGCAACATCAGCTAGAGAATAATAAGAGCACTTTTAAACAATCATGTACAGTTTTTAGTTAGTTGAGGGGAAATAGGCTTTATATATGGCTTTTCCAATGCTTTTTAAAAAAGCCTTTTATATGGTTTGTATAAGCTATAAATTAAAAAAATCCTCTCATATGTACTATCAATTATTGTAATTTGGAGAAGCAGTTCAAAAAGCCATTCCCAAAAACTCAGAATCTCTAGTGTGGAAAACTCTTATACATACATTATGTTTATTCATTAGGATCAGCCTACAATTTACCCTACAAACAA